AATGTTAGCTCATTGGATTCGTCTAGTCGCGAGGAATCGAATGGTAGTTGTTTCATACGAATCGGTGCGATATTGACTGAGATCGTACATCTTTTGTTTTTTTTTGTTTTTTATATATATAAAAAATCATGTGATATAACGTAATTTTGACCATTTTGACTTTTCATTTTGACTTTGACCTCCAAAGTCGAAACATTTCGACTTTTGGGTTTTTATTTCGACTTCATGTATAGTTTCAATGTCTACAAGACAAATCCGTTTTAATGACTCTTCCGGTGTAAAGTCATACAAAATATAAAAATATTTTGATTCAGATCGAGGGCTTCAGCAAAATCACCCAACTCTCGTGATTGCATTTTTATATTCCATGCGAGGACAAGAATACGATTCTGTAAGAGAACTGAAATAGGAAATTGGTTACTTATTATTTTTAGGTCTGCTACTGGCCAAAAATCTTTTTTAGAAGTATAGAATATGTGCAGGTAAAGAAGATCAATTCTATTCTTATATATATAATTACTTAGTATAGACCATCCGCAAAGTTGGATTCCATTCTCTCTTGCTACTTTACGGTAGAATGAGTACAAGTCATCTGATGCAGTTTCGTAATTATTATCTTGAATGGCTTTCATGACTGTCTTTCTTTTACCAGTGCCACTCGTATAAATTTGTAAATATGTTTTTTTTTGTATGATAACCGCAAAAAGGAAAAGCTTTAATATGCTCTATTTTTAAAGTCTTCACCTTACTACCAGAGAAAATACCTCTTACTTTTATTTCACAATCATCTGATGGTTTTCCATCCGATACAAGAATGTCGAAGAAAACCTGAATGCCTAAAAGTGTTACCACCACTTTTTGGCCATTAATTAGAGAACTGTAGAGATGTAATACATAGTAGTACTTTCTATTTTTTTTTTTTGATGACCCTTCATTGTCAATGGCCATGAATGGAATTTCTTGGCAACTGAATAGAACATCATCAAGGATTGCGGTTAATCCTGTACCCTCAGGGTCATTATTTTCTGCTACTATATCATCTCATGTTAGAATATCGGTCAAGTATTTTTCGCCAAAATAATGAATTACTTGGCCTAGTATGTTTTCTTTTTCAGCCTTTAGCCGAAAAAGTGCGAGAGCATTGAGGAACTCTGAAAGCTCAGATTGTGACATTTTTTTCTCAAACAATTTTAAGATAATTTATAGTTATACCAAAACTTAAGGTATATTATTAGCAAGAAAAACTTTAAAATAAAATTAATTAACCGAGATTATTAATCAATATACAAATGGGAGGCGAAAAAAAAGGTGATACCCTAATATTGTATAATTATCCATATATTCTTAGGACTGGAGAAGTGTGCAATCAGAGATGTTATCATTTGAAGGGATGTAAAGTCCATCGGAATTCTAGGCAAGTTCTTTGCAAACAATCTAGATGCAAGGAATGGACTAGAGACGGATATGGATTTTGTGATCCACATGCAAAAAATTTAGAGCAAATGAATACTACCATCAGAAAATGCTAGCTGAGCTAGCTAAGCTAGACATGTATGGATTTTGCAATCCATATGCAAAGAAACATAGGTCAAAGGAAGAGTATCATTGAAAAAAGCTGGCTAAACTGGCTAAGCTGATTGAGGGAGATGATCCAGAATAAAAAGTTGTCACTATTCCTATAGCTATTTTGGGTACTGAAATTTCTTGGTAATACTCTTAGTGACGCTTTTGGTGATAAAATTTATAGCTATTTCGCACTTTTAGACTCATCAAATAGTTTCCAGATGTGTGTTACTATGTCACTAAGAGTCACTAAGAAAAACCTGAAATTCTAACTTTTATTTTTTTTTTAGCATATATGTATCATGCATATGTTATATACTTATCATACTATATCCCATATAACCATAGGAATAGCATAGAAAAATTTCGATTTTTTTTCTAGAACTTTACTTTTTCTTAGTGACTCTTAGTGACATAGTGACGGATATAAAGAAAGATAGTCAAACGTTTTCAAACTTTGAAAAAAGCATACAAAGGTGTCACTAAGAGTGTCACTAACAAATTTTTCATAGTGATAGTTCCAGGACACTATCACGTCACTGCTATAGCGTCAAGTTGGATCCTCAAATCACATACCCAAAAAATCGGCCAAAAATATGGTATAATGTCAGCTAAAATTAATCATGAATTTACTATACCACCCGTTGCCTCTTTTTTTACACCATTTTAGTATTTTAAGAGGTAACCAAATATGCGTAAATTTTCAATATTGAACTAGTACTCAATCAGGTGCAGGAGGCCAGTATCCTTAACATGAAACCAGATATTCAAACAAGGATGGAAAGCCAAAAAATAACAATGTAGAATTTATTATGTAAACGAATTAGAAACAAGAAGAAAGCAGTCATCATTAAATCATGATATTACTATTAAAATAAAGCATTGCCAGTCACCATTAGAGTATGAAATCACCATCATATTATACAGGAAAAGATTAAAATAATACTATAAATACAAAGAAGCTACCCAAATAGTAGATTATGAAGTCATTATCAGATTATAGATAATACAGAGGGCGATCAAAATTATCCGGCCACTATTCAAAATGAAAAAACTTATATATGTATTGTTTATTAAAATTTAAAATTTAAGATAAATATATTTATCTTGTATTTATTTATTAATTTTTACATAAAAAATTAAATTAT